AGATATTAGCGATGAATTTGTATTAGAATATTTTAAAAAATTACCCGACACCGAGGAGCTTAAATTGTAATTACCTTTGAATCTTTGAAACTTTAATCAACGCTTGGTCAGAGTTTTTGCATCAATGAGTTGAAGTTTTTATTTTAAGATTTGCAGCTTGAAAATTGAAATTTTGAACCCCAAATTATGGAAGCAATTTGTATACTAAAGCAATTAATTTTTTTTTTATAAAATTTATTAACTAGAATTATCAATATATGTATATTCACTAACAAGTATGTAAGATGTGCCTTAACTAATTTTGTTAAAAAGCTATTAGAAATTTTCTAGTTATAAATTAAATTTTTGTTTTAATTTTGCTTTTATCTCAGTTAAGTCTGGAACATTAACGAGATATTAAACAGAATTCTTAACAAAGTTCTTTCATTCCTTTTTATGCTTGTTTATTAGATACTAAAACAAATTGTTATTAATTAAGTAGAATTGTAAATAATATAATAAAACAAATGAATTAAATTTTTTAATATTATATAATAATAAATAAAATTTTATTATATATTTTTTTTACATATACAGCGAGAATTAGTGCCACAAATCTCAGACAAATTGTACCGGAATTACTAAGCATTTATTTTTATTATTAATGAAGTTATTATATATACATGTTAAATTAATAAAAAGTTATAATTATTTACATATGCTGAAATATAAATTTACGTTTGTTTTTCTTTTTAAAATGTTTAAAATCAATGGAATATTTTTACATTATTTTTAAATATTAAAATTTATAAACGGTTTGTTGCTTAAAGTCAGGCTCTCTGAAGTGCCATGGTACAGTCGCACGAATGACATGCTATGAGACCTTAGAACAGAACCGGTCAAAAATACATAAGGGACATAGCCCTGGAGCTATATGCGAAAACCGACAGGCTGCCATACTTAGCACTATCTATTCTCAGAGTAATCACTAACCACACGAGGTGATACGCAGATCTTAGATCAGTCATTGAATAATCACGAAGCTTATGAGGAATACACAAATTAGTCAGTGAGATGGGTGGGACTAAGTCGGAAAAGGCTCAATATAGATTAAAAAAAAATCTTCATACTATTTTTCTAAAGTTCCAACTATGTTGTTCATAATATAAAGCAATACTATATAATTTCGTATCAATGTTGCAACAAGAAGTTCAAAAAAGACAATAAGGGTCACATGGATCAGAGTTCTTCAGCAATTAACTTAACTTGCTTATTTACTTTGTTGTTGTTGTTGTTGTAGATTGTCACGTTCACGTCAAAATTGGTTCTTTCGGGCTATGATGAAAGTGCGTGTTATACAGAGTATCAGATCAGTTTGTCAATATCGTATTATTATTATTACTTTTGTACTTTTTGGTTGTGCCACAGATTGCCTTAAACCGACATTTGCTCGTCTCTCTCACTCTCAATTTTTTAATTTGCATTGAAAGCAACAACAATTTTAATTTTGACGTGCCCTTGACATCCTACATAAAAGGGACCTTAGAAAAGTAATTAACATCATAAAATTAAATATAAAAGTTATATTGTAATAAAAAAGAAAAACTTATTTACTTGTTTAAAAATTATTAACTTCTTTCAATTTAATACTTTCTTCGACAATATTATTTAATTCCAATAATTTTTCGACATCTGTTGGTTCAAAATGAAGTAAGGCTAATTCAGCTGTCCAACCAATTACATCTACGCGCAACTGCAAACGTATTTTGTCATCATCTGTCATGGCATTAGTTACACTAGTAGGGCCAGCTCCTTGCGAAATATTACTTTTAAGATTGCGCAAACGTTTCAATGATTCCTCAGTTTTTTGCACAGATGTCAGTACATCCGATACAGCCAGGTAATAGCTATGACAGACAGATAAAATTTAATAATATATTTTGAAATATAAATATCAATTTATAACTACTTACTCTGCTGTAATTTTTTTAACGACTTTTCCTAAAACAACATTGACAGTGTCGTTTCCTAACTGCTGACCATATTTAGTAGCAAATTGCTTAAGAGGTCGTATCATTTGTTCTACATAACCAGAAGATCGAGTAGGAATATCACGATTTGTTTTACGATATAAACGTGGTAAATCATTGACTTGTCGCACATTTTCCAAACCACTTTCAGCAATTAATATATTCACTAAAGCATCTTGTACATTTGTTAAGTGAACACTTATTGTTGATTGTAATAAAACAATTGATTTCGCTACAGTTTCACTTATTAAAGTTGTTTGTTTATTTTTTGGTATGCATGCACTTATAGTTTCTTGTATTTGTGGCAAAGTGGCAGTAAATTTTTGTATATCATCATGCAGCGTTATTAAAAAATCTGTTTTATTAAAACCAGCTGGTAATTCATTAACTTTATTTGTAGTTATCATTGGCATAACAGTTGAAATCCAGCGCGATAGACGTACTACAATTTGTATATTTAATCTATAGAATTTGGGAAATACTTCTGGAAGATAAAGGCCATCAGCCCAACAGCGTAACATTGCTTTATAAGCTTTATTAAAAGGTAACAAACGAAATGAGTTACGCTCATTATCGGCATTTGTCAAGTTATTATTGTTTAATGGTGGTTCCAGCACTGCCTCAAATTGTCCAGCAATATCCTGTAAATACAATTATATATTTATAAATCATTCATATATTTATTCAAACTTAAAAGTTTACCTGAAAACATATTTGAAAATAGACTGGCAAATTCCAACGGGCCTGAAAACTCTTCGTTTGTTTATGCTGTCTGAAGTGTTCAATAGCTTCTGGAGTTGATAATAATTCTTCAATTTTGCTTATAAAGTCCCGTGTACATTTGTATTTTGTGTAAAATATTTCAGCATTACCGGGTGCAAATATCGACATCATGTGTGTTTCAATACGGCTAGCTACATCAACCCAATAGCTATTGACTAAAAAGTTGAAACCATGTAACTTATCAGTATATTGTGTTAATCTGAGTAAATCGGTCATATGCAAAGATATAAAATTCAGCACTTTACTGTAAATACCACCCAGGCCATGCGGTGAATTTTGTAAATAATGTTCAGAAATTGTGGTATTCATATATGGCGCTAAAATATCATCGCGAAATACTTTCTCAGCTACATCACACATATCCAAAGTAATATAAATGCGTAGGCTACGCTCTAACTGCTCTGCATTTGCACTTGTGGCATTTTTTAAGGATTCATTGAAAAATGTACGTAATTTTTCTAATACATCGTGTTCAAGTTGTAAAATTTTAACTTTTTGCTCCTCATGCAGTACTTCCATACAATATTTATTATGAAATTTCAGCTGTATAAGATCCAGTGCAGCACGTTCCAAATCTACAACACGTAATGCTGAATTCAATTGGTTAGCTAATAGGTTTTCCAGTTTTTGTATAGTTTCGTTTACTTTTCGTAAACTTAGCAAATCACGTTTTTGTTCTCTTAACATTTTTTTCATTTCTAAGTGTGAACGTATTTCCGATTCATTTTCTTTAATCGTATTTAGTATACTTTCCACTTCCTCACGAAATTGCAATAATGGTTTCTTTAGAGCACCAATAATGATATCTAAACCATTTAAATTCGCTGATAGACTTACAAAATCAGCGTAGTCTTCATTGATCAAGTCAATCATGGCAGCACGCAAACCTTTTAAGTAAATTCCCAAATTGTCTCGCAACTGTTCCAAACTGGGTGCAGTACGATTTTTATGCAAAAACTCGTCAACGGAAAATGTAGCCTAATATTTTATTATTATTTGTTAATTGAACAATATATTAACGGTTTAATCGATAAATATTACATTTAGAATATATTTATATGTTTTTAATTTTACCTTCATGAACTCATTTTTATCAAAACACAGTTCCTCACCGGATGCTGCAGTATTTTTTGAAATAAGCGCAGTTATTTTATTTTCTGTCATTTCGGTTTTTTGTGACTTTAATTAAAAAGAGATTTAATTTTAAAAATATAAACAATTTAAAGACTAATTTAATGAACTAAAAAACTATTTGCACATTCCCTACATGTAAAAATTTGCCACGGCTATTATTTATTTTATTGTCTTGCGTTTATGTTTTGGTTTTCATATTCGTCAATAAGAAAAATGACAGTGTTGCATTTTTATAACTAAATATTAATCAAATCTTACAAATTATTAAAAATTCTAAAAATACTTTCGAGTAAAACTGTTTATTGTAAAGGCCGTGAGCGAATTCGAGTAAATTGATGGTAAATTGAGGGAAATAGTAAATTATATGGCTATGGTAGCGAATGTTGGTATTTACCAGAATTTCGAGTAGGGTAAATTAGATAAGAAATAAGTAAATTAAGTGAAAACTTTATAAGATGTTTAATAAATAAATAAATAAATTTAAAAACTTTTAACCAAAAATAATAAATAAGTGCAATAAATAAATAAATATTTACATAAGTGCAGTGCAAAAAATTCCTTGAAAATTTCAATTTACTTTACCTCAATATACTCAAACTCGCACACGATCTAAAAATATTTATTTTCCAGAATTTTGCATATTTTTGAAATATTTCATTTCCAAAATTTTCAAATTTGTGAAACTTTTTGTTTGAATTTTGTTGAAATTTCCAATGAACGATCACAATAGTTCGCTTATTGCGTTGGCAACATTAGTTGCTAAAATGCTTGGCTACTTCACAACTAAGTGATTAGATAGAGAAAGTAGCGTTGTTTTGCATACATTTATGCAACTAAAGGCAACCTGCTGTTTTTTACCACACTTAAAAACTGCCGAAAGCACCTAATGTTGTGGTTATATTTTATGATAGCTGGCAACTCTGTCCTATGTGAGCAATATTGACATTTCAATTCGTTTAAAATAATTAATTCTGAAACATTTGTTAGAAAGCGAAGATGCCTGAAAATCAAGGATTTCGTAGAAATTTTAAAAAGTTTTCAAAACCCAAGCCTAATATTATTGTTGAAGATAGTCCCGTCCTTAATGCATTTCAAGCTTATCGCGCAGAACTAGACGCCAAACATGATCGCCACGAAAGAATCGTAAAACTAAGCCGAGATATAACGATTGAGTCGAAGAGAATTATATTTCATTTACACAGCATTGAAAGTAATAAGAATAATAGGCAGAAAGTATTGCAGGAAGCAGAACAAAGATTGCAAAAACTTATTAACATAAATTTTAAAGCTGTAGCAAAAGAACTTCACGGACAGGATCCATACCAATTTCGTTCGGCTTATTCGCCTGGTTTGCAAGAATTTATCGAGGCCTACAGTTTTTATGAATATTTTAAATGGTCTGATAATGAAAAACAGGGACTTTCAGATTGGCATACAATACAGAAACAAATGCAGTATAGTGATGAAGTTGAAGTTGAAATTGAAAAGAAGCAGGAATCACTGGAAGAGCCAGCAACATTAGCAGAGGCCGTAAATACACCTCCAAATGAGGAAGTTAAAGGTAAATAAATTAAAAATATGTAATAACTAATTAATAATAACTTTTTTATCCTTGTTATAGTGTTAGAACCAGTAAAGTTTGAATTTTTTATGGATCCAACAGAATATGTTTTGGGTATTTCTGATTTGACTGGTGAACTAATGCGTCGATGCGTCAATTCGCTAGGTTGTGGGGAAACAAATGAATGCGTAGAGACATGCAAAGCTTTGCAAAATTTATATACATGGTAAAAGTATTTTTATTTAGTTAAAAACAAAAAATCTTGTTTAAATAAGTTAAATAAATTGCAGCTACATAAGTCTACGTGTTCAGCGCTGTCGTGAACTGTCACGCAAAGTTTACACTATGCGTCAGAGTGTTATTAAAGCAGAGAATGTTTGTTACAACGTCAAGGTACGCGGCGGTGAAGCAGCCAAATGGGGTTCTGTGTTTGATAACAAACCAGGTGATGACATTGATGAGGGTTTCTTCTAGTATGGACTTATACTCTCTATAACTTTGCTTATTTAAATTAAATTGAAAATACCATAAAGTTTTAATAAAGTATAGTTTTTTATATTTAAAATGTTTTTTACATTTTATACTTTGTAAATAAAATTATAAAACTTAAAATAGATTTAATACAGACATTAACAAATTAATTTACAAATAATATGGAATTGCTGCAACAATTTACTCCTCTGCCTTATCTATTTCATCTTCGGTATCGTCATCATCATCAGTAGGCATATAATCCGAACCCTCATCATCAATAAAAGGATCTTCCAAATCATAATCATCAAGATCGGTGCTATTGCCACTAGCTGCGTCAATTTCGGCATAATTTTGCTGTTGTCGTCGCTGGCGTAACCTCATCCGATAATTTTTATAATTTTGTGCAAAATTTGCTTTAGAAAGAAAACATCAGATTATATATAGAGCCAGCAGAGAAAATGATATATGAAAAAAAAGAGAATTGTTTTAATCTTAATGCAGCAATTTTTATTAGTGCGATTAATGCGGATAATTTGTGAAGAGTTAAAAATTCATTTAAAAAGTACTTACTGTCTGCCGGGTGGCTGTATTGTTTAAAATGCATTGGATTTCGACGATAACATTTATTGCCAAATGGGCAATCAGGTGTGCCTGCAGGTGGAGGTGAATAACAAGGACGCTTATAATCATGATCGCCAGGATGAGCTTCTTCAATGCGATGCATGGGATTTTGCCTAAAAACTTTCAATAATAACAAAAAATAAAAGATTCTTTTAAATAATATTCACCTGTAACAACGTATGCCATATTTGCAAGACTCCCTTGATGTAGAGCTGGCATCGCTTTTCTCTACTTTCACTGCAGGTTTTATGTTACTCGGATTAATTACACCAGAACTAGAAGCTGCTGCTACTTCGTTATCTGCTTCCTCATCAGAAGGTTCAGCTTTTATATTAGAATTACTAACACCAGAACTAGAAGCTGCTGCAACTTCATTACCTTCATTTTCATTTACGGGTTCTGTTTTGATACATGGAGTTGCATTGTTATTAACGCTGGATTCACCATTTTCATTACCATTTGTTTGCAAAGGATTATCATCATCTTTAGTACGTTTCGCCGCATTTGTACTTTCGTTACTGTTGCTGTCGTCGTCTTTGCTTAACATCCACACTGGTAGTTTCCGTTTTCTAACCTGTTCTGTGCAGTTATTGGATGCAGTTGGTATATTTTGATTAATATCAGCAACAGCTTCTTCCACTGCTTCATTATTTTCTGTATTGTTTACGTTTTCTTCAGAGGCGTTGGCTTGTTCCAAACTATTTGTTTTAAGTAAATTACTTTCCACTGATGACTCACAATTACAATCGTCTTCTGACAACATTATTATAATGGAAATAGATCAACTTATTTTATAAATTCTGTTATAAGAAGTTTTTATAAAGAGCGCTGTTGTGAAATTATGGCGCAGTTTACATGTTTTGACTTGCTACTTGCAAAACTCATAACTTAAACTGATTGAACTATTTTAGTAGTGCTGTAAAGTGTCAAATTTTAAAAGTTAAGAGGTGATGTTTACATAGCTTCCACTCTCTGAGAAATTCTGCATCTCACCAATATTCATACTCAATACTCAATTATCTATCTAAAATTATCTAAAAAAATTAGCATTTTGAAGATAATCTGTTGCGTGAACGACCCAAAATGCGCAATCTGATTATTTTGTTGTGTGCAAATAGTTGGCAGCAATCGTGTCAACAGCAAAAGCGAAACATATGTTTACAGTGAAATACTCAAAAATTCGTAACTTTTAATATCATTTAAATTTATCATATAGTTTATATTATTTAAAATGCCAAGACAAAGCGAAAAAAATAAATTTTAAATACTTTACAAAAAATAACTGTTGGGGAATTAAATTCTGTTGAAGAATTTGGAGATGGCGGTAATTTCCTATTTAAATTTATACATATATTTTAATAAAAAGTTACATGTTTTCTATGTTAATAGAAATAATAGAAGAGAAAGTTGACATTATAGAATTTTCTGGTTTATATGGCCATCGCGAAATCACGGTATGATGTCCCACACATAATGCATTCTGTGCCAAAGTGTGATACATTTTTAACAGATGCATTGTTGCAAATGGATGAGTTTCGGTTTAAGCGCTATATGCGCGTTAATTGAGCAACATTCAGAAAAATATTTAATTCTGTTAAGAATGATGAAGTATTCAATGGTGCTCGCGCAAGTCAGTCGAATGACTTCTCCGAAACCCATAGGAAAAGATTTAATGCTTGTTTTAGCTCTTATCGCATTCGCATTGAGCATTGTTTCGGTTTATTAAAAAAGAGATTCAGATTTAAAATGAAGTTATATAAAAATATCATTTTCCTAAATATTGAAATATTTGTTGTTTTTATTTTCATCAATATCCAACGTTATTACTCTTACAATTACTGATTTTTGTATTTCAAATCAATTTCATATTTTTTGAGTTCAAGCTCAAGTTTTAATTTTTCCAGCTCCAATTCCTTGTGAGCTTCTAATTCCATTTTTTTCATTTGAAGTGCTTGTGCTCTGTCTAAATCTGCGTTTTCTTTCATAATTTTTAATTTCTGTTCCTCTATTTCGATTCTGCGTTGTTGTAGCGCAATAATGTAGGATGTAGAATCGCGTTGTGCGTAACTAGATCTTTTTCGATTCATTCCGCGCATTCTAGATGATGTTGAGGAAATTGGAGAATCTTCCACTGCACTGTCCGAATCAGTTTCATTTCGGACATTTGTGGGCATAGCAATGGCTTCTACTTCTACTTGTGGTGGGTTTATAAGACACTCCACAGGAGCGTCAGATTCCACAATGTTGACGTTCACATTGCTACGTCTGCCAAAAATGTCATACAGCAAATCGAATTTTGGGCATTTCTTTAACACGTGTTCTAATTTTATCATAATTATTGAAGCATATTTTAAGAAAATATTAAACTTATTACCTGTGACACTTCTCTCCCCCATATCTGCTGTAAGACCAGCGCCAGTGCTCTGCTTCCACTCCATAGCGGAAATGAAACTTGCCTTTAGGAACTGCTAAGAGAAAACTAAGAGCGTAACACAAAAAAAGTGCCAAATTATGCTCTTTACACAGATTTTCGTGGAACAGCTTTGTATAAAGTCTGGTGAGAACAAATAAGCAATAAAAAAGTTTGAATTCAAACCAAAACAGCTGATTCACACATCAACACAAATTTTACTTGAAAGAAAGTAAAGTCTGTGTAGCTATTTCAAATTTTGACAGGGATGTTACGCTCTCTCGGATACTCTCATTTACTCGAAAATTTCCTGGAACGCACTTGTGTATACACACTTGTGTTACTCAAAGTTACTACGAGTATCTCGTGCAACAGATCTAATATAATAAAACTTTTTCAAAATCCGTCGCCGTAACGAATGTACCAGAAGAAATCATTATCGCGCACAAAATTGTTTAAGAAAATTAATATCTGGTCTAAAATGTGTGCAAAGAACAGCTGATGTAAATATATTTAATAACTAGATAAGCACTCAAGTTTAAAGTGATAAGTTTTAAACGTAATCGTTTAACACAAAATGTGATAACAAATAATATTATTTTGTAATTTTTGAAACAAATTTAAAAATATTAAAAGACTTTCACTTAAAAGTATGCGAATTATACGGCCGGCATTCGTTTGCATTATCATCCATTAATAGAATTCTATAAAAAGATTTTAGATCAATAAGATCATACAAGAACTCTGAATAAAAATGATAAACACTGTGTGCAGCATATTTAATTATTTATATTTTGCATTCCCTCCGCCCTTCGAGGTTGCATGGTAACGGGTTTGCAAGATTGTCGTGTTTTCTGAATGTAAACTGAGCTTCACTTGTGTGTATTTTTATGTCTACGAATGTGTGTTTAATCGTAGGGGTTAACTAATAAATGGCATTCTGATAAAGTAAATTTTATTAATGTATTTGTTAATAACTATACACGTTAAAATATTCTTTTCCTTTGTTGGTATTTCATTTACAGTTCACTACTTGAGTAGTTTAAAAGGCGTTGGACTTGGACTTTGTGTTTATAAATTTTCGGTATTAAAACTAAATTCAGTAATTGAAAAAATAATTTTTTAATTATTATTCCATAATTATATTAATTTTTTTTAGTATAAATGCTCAGGATGACTAAAGAAAAACTGGATGTTATAATATTTGGTGCAACCGGGTTTACCGGCAAATATACTGTATTTGAAGCGGCATCAGTGCTGGGAAACTTACGTTGGGGTATTGCCGGTCGCAATCAGGCTAAACTCCAATCTATCCTAGAGGAAATGGGTGCAAAAGCTAAACAAAATTTAATGGACACACCCATTGTTATTGCGGATGTAGGTAATGAGGCATCATTGCTGGCAATGGCACAACGTTGTCGTGTATTGGTCAATTGTTGCGGACCCTATCGTTTCTTTGGTGAGCCTGTGGTACGTGCTTGCATAGAAGCCGGCACACATCATGTGGATGTTACTGGTGAAACACAGTTTATGGAAAGTATGCAGTTGAAATATCATGCTAAAGCACAAGAACGTAATACTTACATAGTGTCTGGCTGTGGCTTTGATTCAATACCATCCGAAATTGGTATTTTATATGCAGAGAAAAATTTTGATGGCACTATTAATTCTGTAGAAACATACTTGAAAACAGTTCGTAAACGTAGTCCTAAATCTGCTGGCATACATTATGGAACATGGGAAAGTCTTATACATGCTATAGGTCATCTACACGAATTAAAAGATATACGTCCGAAATTGTTTAGTGAAAAATTACCAAAATTTCAACCTAAAGCTCAGCGCCGTCCACCGATTTTCAAATCTGAAGTTGTCGATCGAGTGTGTTTACCATTCCCTGGCCCAGATTCAGCAGTTGCTGCTCGTACACAACGTTTTCGCTATCAATTCGAACGTAAACGTCCTGCACAGGTAAATAGTTTTGTAGCCTTTGGTTCTTGGATAGAAGCAATTATTGTTGGCTTTATGGCTATCGTGTATGGTATTATGGCACAATTTTCATTTACACGTAAATTACTTTTGGACTATCCAAGACTTTTCACATTTGGTTTTGTTTCACATGAGGGACCATCTGAAATTGTAATGAACAATACACATTTCTCATTCACTATAAAAGCACTTGGCTGGCCTAAGTCTTCAAATTTAGCTGAACCCACCGATCAATATAAGGATGCACCAAATAAATCAGTGGTTGTTAAGGTTTCTGGTACAAATCCTGGCTATGGAGCTACATGTGTTGCATTACTTTCTACAGCTGTTACAATACTGAAAGAAAGCGATAAAATGCCATCAACTGGTGGAGTCTTAACACCAGGTGCCGCCTTTGCTAAAACTAGCATTATAGAAGAATTGCAAAAGCATGAACATGGACTTAAATTCGAAGTTTTAAATAAATAAATTTTAAAGCGTGTGACGGATGGTTATTTGGAAACGGTTATGGTTTAAAATTATCATACACATACATACATACTTGTTAAAAATTATACAATAAATTTTTTTTTATAAAAAAAATAATTTCGAAAAACATTTTGGGTTTTACTTTATGTTAAAAGCATATACTTTATGATATTGATATGATATTATGATATTGTCTATTAAAATAGTCTATACATTTGAACCACATTCTTTAATGAATGTCTGATGTGACCCTTAATCAAACTAATGTATTTTAGTGGCTAAATAAAATAGTTTAATATCTGTAATAAATATTGTTTAATTTCGAGGCCATAGTTAACCTTTTTGGTCCATGTGCAACCACTGCGGTCCTTTTAGAACACTTTTGTTCTCCTTATCAACAATCGCTAATTCTTGGTATCACAACAGGTCATTATTTATGCTTAAGTGGGTTTTGAACACCAACGTCATCTAACCTAACCAAGAAATATTTCTTAATTTTTCTTTTTTCAATTTATTGGATTTTTCAAGAGTTTGTTATTGTCCAAAAATAAATCTATTGAGATCTTTTTAGACGAGTAAGGAGAGCTAATACCTGCGCATCAGTTAGGTTTCTGCACAAAATTCTCATTCATCGACCAAATCCATAGAACTTGAACTAGAGTTATTGAAAACATCTTCGAATAAAAAACAGATTTGTACTTCGGTTTTTCTTAAAATAATACTTTAGCCTAATAAAATCGTGTCTATCAGATCCTTTTATTCGCATCAAACAAAAAGATACGTACTCTTACCGTAATAAAACAAAATGTCCCCCAGGACAATGTGTTGGAACCTATTTTTTATATACGCTTTACATATGATTTACCCCACCTCAAACATTGCATCACAGCAATATTTTCATACGAAACAGTAATTTTAACGGTCTAAAAATCAGATCTAGTGTATCCATAGCTCGACCATTATATTATCTAAACAAGTTCTTAAAATAGACAACTATATTGAGCATTAAAATAAGTCTGTCCTTTACAACTTCACATACAATTATCTTTTATATATAATTAGCTTAGGAATCTTGTGACATAATACTGCTAA